TGGCTACCGGTGGGTAGAGAGTGAGAACGTGGTAGTTGAACAACAGCACGATAACGATGAGCGCAACGATAAAGATCAATGGAGTAGCTGCTTTTTTGAGTGACAAAATTCCGATGAGAGTGAGCTGAGCAACGACGAGAGCGATGATGCAAAACTTAAACATACGAGGCCAGTACGCTCCCAGAGCAAAACACGTCGGCTTGTACACACAGAGTACCTGCCGACGATAGACTATCTCGGCCACGAAGAAAAAAAACCACGTAAAGTAACAAACCAAAGGCGCGATCGGTGCAAATGTCAGCGTGACCAATAAAACCAGAAAGCTATCGGCAAGAGAGTTCGTCGGGTCAAACGGATTGGTCTGTGCGATATCACGCAGACCCAACCACGGCGAATTGCGCTCACGTCGCGTGTGTTTCGGAGCCAAAAGTGCATAAAGTGCAGACAAAATCAACGGAACGACACGTAGCAACTCCAACACGAGGCCCAATCCTGTCTGCACGATCACGTACGAGATGAAGAACGTCGATTGTTGAGGCATGCTGCGACCAAGCATAGACACAAGTTTCTTCGGCTGATCCAGAATTTCCTTAAGACTGTCCAAGATGGTTCCGACTATCACTGTCACAAAAAAAATCTGGACCAACTGAAAATACGCTAGTTTCGTGAAGAGGGCAGCACGAACCTCAGTATTCGACGGATGGCCCTCTCTACCCGATAGAAAACTGAACACGATCGGTGCCAACGCACTCAACGCCACAAGAGCAAGCGGTGCGATCTGTTTGAAAATATCTTGAAGAAGCGGATATTCGTCGAAAGCCCTGTTCAAAAACGGAAGCGCGCGTCGAAGTGACTCAACTGTAGCCAGCGAGGCCACAAAAGCAGTGGGGATCGTCCAGAATAGCACAATTGTGGCCGAAATCAAGGACGACACAAGCATTCCGAGTGATCGTGTGCGATAGCGAAGCCCAATGTTGTTCCAGTTAATGTCGTCCACATGCGGTGCCGGCACAACAGTCATGCACTCTGGGTCCTTAGACTGTAGCGCCTGCTGTGCAACTTGTGCTGACATAAGCGACGAAAATGAAACAAACGCTGCTCTCCTCATCACCCGGATCGGTCGTTCTTTGCGAACTTGCTCACGCTCGTCCTGACTCATTTCTCTGTCGTGTCGGCGCGCTTTCTTCTCATCAATGTCGTCTTCCTCGTCACCTCCAAAACTGTTGTGCAATTCTTCTGCCCGTCCACGACGATCGATCAGTGGGGCCCTCTTCGAATCCTCGTGCTCTTTCGTCTTCTTTGACACTTTTTCCCAGCCTCCTCTAGATTCTGGCAACTGCAGTTCTTCGTCATCGTTAAAACTTCCAGTTTCGCGTTCCTGTTCCTCGACTTGAATCGCAAGTTGTTCCTGAGCGTCATCAATACTTCGAATCTCTCTCGCGACTTCCTCGTTTAGTGTTGCCAATTGGTCCTGGTAATGATCAATACTATCAACCTCGAAACCTCGACTTCCGGTTTTACACATCATCATCCGAATTCTCGATCTCCCCTCTCGATGTCGCGGTCTCATACGTGATCGCTCGCACTTTGACAGCGCATGTTCAAGAGCTCCACGTACTTTTTCACGTCGGTCCACTAACATCTCTAACGTGGCACATTCTAGCGCCACATACACGTTTCGGATCGACGATGGGAAAATCTTAGACATATATATCTCGAGCGTTTGGCGCGTTCGCAGATGCAGTGGCAGGTCATTGACCAGCACCGAGTACTGTGGTGCCTCCATCCTGTCCAACACTTCGTGACGATATCGCACGTAGAGCTTATACTCTCTGATTAACAGTCTCATCGCGTATGCTGCCATAATAAACGCTACGACTGTCGGGGCCCACAGTCTGTCATTCCCTTCAGGTAAATTACTCATGGAAATCCGAGTCAGTGGGTCAACTAGTCCTTGCTCGACTCGTGGCTGCGCAGCCGTTGCATATAACGGGAACAGCACCGCGGAACAACCCACAGCCAACAGTGCCAGCTTCTGACCAAGTCTCAGGAATCGAAGGAATGTCATCGTGTCCAATCCACATCGTTGCAAAATTTCATCGTCCGACACACGGAAACCTGCTGGAACCCAGTGAAACAGTCCATCACTGCGAGAATTCAAAGTGGACATGTTGAAAATATCTTCCTCTTGACGACGATTGTCGTAAGCGCGACGGAAGCGTCTACGAAGACTCTCGAATAGTATCAGTCCTGCTCCCAGTATTGAGAAGTAGATAGACACACTCGTCTTGATGGTGCCGCTCGGATTGGCGTTTGCTGCGGCGGCATCTTGCTGCGTCGTACTCATGGTGCTGAAGAACAAATAAGGGACGCGGCGATCCACAAAAGTTTAGCAGGCATTTTTATTTAAATCTGCAGTAATAGCAGTCCTCTGAAATTTGATAGTTTATATCAAGCGCTTTTATATATTAGACGATAAAAAATACAGCCCTGTGCTACTAATGCATCCCGAATAACGTTGCTGCGTGTTAGTGTCTCGCAAGTAAAGCTAAAATATTCTGTGAGTGCCTGCTAACTTTGGTATTTTAACTAGCCGAGTGCCGCCACTACGCGGCGGGATAGAATGATTGTCGCTCCTTGTGTTTTGCCTCCGTTCCGCTCGCCACGGGCTGCCGATTTGGGCCGCCTCGCTGCGCTCGGCAGCTTTTAGGCCAATCGGGGCCACCTTCGCTGCGCTCGGCAGCCAATAGGAATATTAAAATTATTTTATCCAATGATTTGTTCGGAAAAGCGTGACAGGCACGACAATTTAGTGTGACGGACAGACAGGTTGCTGTATTTGATGCTTAAGATACTAGCGCTCTGGGCGCCCGCTCCGCGGACGCTAGGGCATGGTTGATTGGTGTAGTATGGGTTGACCACCTTCGCTGCGCTGCGGTGGGCTTAGAGTTTATACCTAGAGCGAAACTACATATAATAAATGTATATGGTGATCTAATTATGTTACGTTCCAAAACAACGCTGCACACAATATCCTTAGTGCTCACATGTTATGGGAGACATAACCATGGTTTGACGTGATCTGCAAGATGAACACCATCTTACCCGGGAAGGTTTGGGCTATAATCCCATTTGAGCGCATAGCTACTCGAATGAAACGAATCGGAGGCGCGCGTGGTTGCAAATGTAATATACGCTGTTCAGAAGACGGATTAGTATCTAAAATGATGCTACAAATTGGCATAGAGTGGTGAGGAATCCCAGTTAAGCTGGAGTAAATACGCCTACTCAAACATATTACCCATCTGCACGTCATCGCCGTGAGGCAGTCGACACCGTATCATTGATTGTGACGGTCTATAAGAGCAAGATTTGGTCAGCTCCTTGCGCAAAGTATCTTCTAGTACAGGTCGTATTTGCCGATGGTCGCCACAAACACCAATATTATGCCTTGAAATTCTTTCCCTGAGCTCTGTATGATATTACCGTAGGGTCTTTCCACTATCTTCCGCATGCATTGATCTTACTTGCATAGCTGACGTACTTACTGACTTATTTGCACAGCTATTGACTGACAGAGTGATGTAGATGCTTTCCGAGTGTCATTTACTGGTTCCCATATGTATGCCAAACATACGAAGCCACATGGCTGTAGGCAAATTATCAGCTCGTAGATACCTTAGCCTTGAATCGAAACCTAGCTCATGTACATTAGATGAAGTACTTACGCTATCTATCT